AAGGAAGGAAGGAAGGAAGGAAGGAAGGAAGGAAGGAAGGAAGGAAGCAGGGAATTAAAGGCACGAAGGCCCACCCACTAGTCGCAACACCGAGTTCAAGGTTTCACCAAACACAGGGCCAACCAAGGACCAAAGGGCCAAGCACTCAAAACTCAAGGAGAAGCAGGTCCTGAGCCAGACACCAGGCTTGGCTTTTGTTTTCACTGACACCATTTCCCCTTTCCTAGAAAGGCTAAAGGGAGGGTTGCTGAAGTCTGGAGTTCTTCTCTGGAAGGTACTCATGTTCTATAGGCCATAGGACCCTCTCCAGATAGCTTGACCTCTGAGAACTAGTCAGAAAACCAACGTCACCTCAAGCCAACCAACTCCAAGGTGGAAATCTACTGGCCTGGTTTGGGAAAATGGAGGCAGGTTGTACCAGGTAAAGGGTGATTCAAGGACACAAGATGTCTTAGATGTAACTCTCCATTTCTCTTTTCATCTCTGTCTCTTCTCTCCATCTACCTATGGGAGACATACCTAGGTTCAGGTTTGGGGCTATGTCATTAAAGCAGTCATTCTTTATGGGTCTCTGTGTCCCCAGGAAAGTCACTGAATGACCTGAGTGACCCATCACACTCATGAGACAGTTGTAACAGAAAGATGAAGTGCTGTTCTGGCATGCTCACAGTCCCAAGTCCATGCTGCAATATATTCTTATTGTGGGGTGTAGAGAGTCCTCAAAGATACTGAGACATTACTACCTTAACATAAAGAGGGCTGAAACAATGGCTCAGTAGGTAAAGCACTTGCCATGCAAGGGTGAAGACCTGAGTCTGAATCCTCAGAACCCACATAAAGAAAGAGACTGTAGCCAACATTTTAAATCTCAGTGTCCTGTGGCAAAAATGCCAGGCAGAACTGTGAAAATCCTCAGAAGCTCCTGGGCCAGCTAGTCTGGTCTATACAGCAATGAGCAACAAGAGACCTTATCTCAAACAAGGTGGAAGGGAAGGACTAATAGCCAAGGTTTTCCTCTCCTATTCACATGTGTGGATATGCACACACACACACACACACACACACACATACACACACGCCTGTGTATATGTTCATGCACAACATATATGCATTCATATACACAAAGCAAGACAGAAGGGCCCAACTGGGTGAGTGGCTCAAGCCTGTAATCTGAGGTCTCAGTGAGGCAGAGGCAGGTGGATCTCTGTGAGTTTGAGGCTGGCCAAGTCTACAAAGCAAGTTCAGGACAGCCAAGGCTACACAGAAAAACCCTGTCTCAAAAAAATAGAGAGAGAGAGCAAATAAGCAAGAGAAAGAGAGGCCCAAAAGCAGGAGTGGTGGGATATTAAGATATTAGCCCTTGCCATCAAGTTTGATGACCTGAGTTTGAGCCCTAGGACCACATGGTAGAAGGGGGACACCAACTCCTTCAAATTGTCCTTTGATCTTTACATGTATGCTGTGCTCTGTGTGTGTGTGTGTGTGTGTGTTTGTATAAAACATGCACATTCATGTTGGCTCAGAATAATAAATAGATAAATATTAAAAAAAAATAAAGGGAGTGTTCTATGTTTTTATCTCTCACTTAAGACATGGGAACAATAATTTCTAGTCCCCAAGGAGATAGCAAAGATTAGATACTATCAGAAATCTCAAAGCACTTGGCAATGGTGCTTAGCACCCCCACTGCCACTGTCCTCTCCCACTGCTCTTTCTGGTGGCTAAGACAGGAGCCCTGGGGTTCTCTTGTCATACTAACCTCAGATCTCCTGCTCAACAGGCTAATCTCCAAGGACGATGAACCTCATGATGGGCCTGGGCCTGTTTCTGGCAGGTCTCCTCAGTGTGAAAGGTCTCCTGCAGGCTAGAGATGCTCCAGATATGTATAAGTCTCCAGTCAAGGTGCAAGAGTGGAGGGGCAAGAAGGACGCCCTAGTGCTCGCACAACGCAACATGCAATTTGGCTTCAAGTTACTCCGGAAGCTGGCTAGCAATGCTCCTTGGCAGAATATTTTCTTCTCTCCACTGAGCATCTCAATTGCCTTCTCCATGTTGTCTCTGGGGGCTCAGAACTCCACTCTGGAAGAAATCAAAGAAGGCTTCAACTTCAAGGGGATGCCGGACAGGGACATGCACTCAGGTTTCTACTACCTTCTGCAGAAGTTCAACCAGGAGACACAGGACATCAAGATGAACCTGGGCAATGCCTTGTTTATGGACCAGAAGCTGAGGCCCCGGCAGAGATTCCTGAGACTGGCTAAGACTGTGTATGATGCGGACATGATGCAAACTAACTTCCAGGACTTAGAAAATGCTCAGAGGGAGATCAACAAGTACGTCAGTCAGAAAACACACAACAGAATCAACAATCTGGTCAGAAGCATAGACCCAGGCACCGTGATGCTTCTTGCAAACTACATTTACTTTCGAGGTAAGGCTAGGGGCACGCCGTGGTGAGGAAGGTAGAGGTAAAACTTGGGTTAGAAACTTGACCCAGTCCTTTCCTTGCTTCGTGTGTCTGAATGTCTGAGTCAGTAACAGGCCAGTACTCTGCCCTCTCTGGCTTTAAAGTAAACACTGAGATAGATAACTCACCAAGGAGTTACTGGGGTTCACAGTGGAGCTGATGGGGAAGTGAGCATTGCAAAGTCTAGATTACTCCCTGGGAGTGTTTTCATAGTGGCCGATGGACCTCATTTGCTTTGGTTGAGAAGCTGGAGTCTCTGCTTCTCAGATGAGAGAGAAATGTAAAAACTGGAGAGAGAGAGAGAGAGAGAGAGAGAGAGAGAGATTATTTACTCCAAATTCCAAAACTAGTCATTGAGTATTGGAACCCACTTCTCTAGGGCTATGCGCCCTGCTTCATAATGAAGAGTCATGGGGTGGGGGTCAATAGAGTGATGATGATGACGGTGGTGGTGGTGACCATTTTGGTTGGTGCCTTCATCCCTTCATCAGTCTTCAGAGATTTGCTAATGTAAAGGAGAGACTGAAAAAGAATATGGAAGAATGTTCTCCAACATCTGTACTCACACAACACATATATACACAGGGTTTGGAAAAGTTGACAAAATGAAGGGAAAAAAGAAAGAAAGAAAAGAAAAGAAAAGCAGAGGCTAAGTCTCTTTTTCCCAGCAAGCTCATCACTTATCTCAGCAACATGGTCCCAAATAGGGACCCCACATCCCACAGGAAGACTAGTGACTACTGAGAGCAAGGAAAGTGACAGAGGCAGCCTGAAACCACAGCCTTCCCAAACCAGAGAGGGTTAAGGGAGAGTTTGGAATAGCTCAGTGTCTACATTAGGGGCAGCAATAACAACAGTGCTGATATGACCCAGATGAGCATTGACTCAACACACAGAAGACGCGGCTGCGGGGCTCTGCTGCTTCCTGATAGTCACCAAACATCCCTTTGACATGTTTGCTAATATCTTCACTCTACAAATTGAAGAATGAAATCTAGGGAGATTGCGACAGTGGCTCCAGGTCTTCCTTTGAGAGCAGTGAAGCCAGGATTTGGACTTAGAGAGTCAGCTCTCAAGGTTCCAAGGACAGCGGGTTAGAAATGGTACAGCTGTGACTGTGTGCAAAGTCATGGCATTCTCTAAGTGAAAACAGAGATCCTGAGAGTAGGGGTAGCTCCAGTGGTGAAATGCCCTGTTTTACAAGCATGAGGACTTGAGTCTAGATCCCAGCACACATATTAAGACCCAGGCAAGCGGATACGCAGCTATAACAGTAGAGCCCAGGGTTAGGGCACACAGACAGGAGCTCTCTGGCCAGTCAGACCAGCCAATCACTGAGCATCTGTCTCAGTAAGGGAGTCCTGACTCAAAAAATAAGGTGGAAATGGATAGAGGAAGAAACACAGCACTAACTTCCAGCTGCAACACCCATGTGTGTGGGCACACACAATAAATAAATACAGAGAGAGAGAGAGAGAGAGAGAGAGAGGATGCAGACATTTCTGCAGCAAGGTCCCACAGCACATTGTTTCTGTTGTTTTCTCCTGAGAGTAGCTTCAGAACACTGAGTTAAGCATTTTCAATCTCACAAAACAAAACCACCTCAGGAACTGCAATCCAGCCCTCTCTTAAGATACAAGCTATGGCTGTCTGAGCTTCAGCTGGCCTTAGAGTAATGTCCTGTGTCCCTCACATCCCTGCAACATGAGTTCCAGGCTCTTTTTAACTGGGTCCCTGGGCCTGTGTCCATCCCACAGAGGTCTTCCAGGGACAGAGGGGGAGACGGCATGAGCCCTTCCTGACACTGCATCACTTCCCTCCAAATCTCCATGGACGATGGCCAGGGATCAGCTGGCTCAAGCCTCCCTCTGTTCCTTCCAGACCCTTGTGCCATTTTGTCTGTCTTCATTCCTAAGCCAGGTGGCAGTATGAATTCAATCCAAAAGAAACCAAAGAGGGACAGTTCTTCGTAGAGGAAGGCAAGAGCGTGAAGGTGCCCATGATGTTCCATGAGGGCATCTATGACATGGCCTATGACAGCCAGCTCTCCTGCACCATCCTAGAATTGCCCTACAGAGGAAACATCACGGCCACCTTCGTCCTCCCCGACAGCGGCAAAATGAAACAACTGGAGCAGGCCCTGAAGACAGACATCTTTGCCAAATGGAAAAGCCTGCTCTCAAAAAGGTGACGTCAGAGCCTGGCCCATAGAGATTCTTTCTCCTTCCCGTCTTCCTCACACTCTCTTCATTTCATCTACCTTGTGCCCAGCCAGGCCCTCTCTGGGACTCTGGAAAAGTGGGCAGGAGACTAGGAGTTGGTGAGACACTGGCTCTTTGAGGGTGATGCGCTGAAGTGACGGGAGTGTGTGGCATGGAGTCTTGCTGGAGGGTGACCATCAGGGAGTCCTTCACAGAGGAGGTGCCGTTTAAGTGTTTAAGGTACAGCTTCAAGGCTGTAGGGAAGGAAGAGGAGTGACGGATTCTAGCACGAAGGAAACTTTAAGGATGGACCCTTGGTGTGTCAAGGACACAAGTGAGATGTGTCTTGTCTCCCAGCTCGTTCTGGGCCTGGAGTAGCAGACACCACACCTCTTCTAAAGGAAACTCCCACCTCTCCTCAGGGTAGTGAACTGGCCCACATCTATTAAGGGGGAATTTCATTTCATCAGAACACACACAAGGAGCCAGTGTCCCTACTTTCCAAACTCACTTAGACTGATAGCTGTGAAGACATTTTCAAGTACAGACAGGGAGTCGAGCCTAGACCTCTTCAGCTTCCTTTACTGGACAATGGAGGAGAAGGGGGAGGAGGAAGAGGAGGGCATGGGTTGTTCTTCCTGCAGCCCTGCCCCTCGGTGGAAGGCCTAGGAGAGGATGAAAGGCTACACCCTTTTCCAACAGAGGGGACCATGTCAACAGTTGCATGTCTAACCTCTCCCACCTACACCCCTGATTCCCAAGTGTGTAGAACACACCAGAATTCAGGCACCAGGCTCCTCCACCCTGGCTTGTGTACTGAAGGCAGAGTCTTCACACCATTTGAAGCCTGCTGCCCAGAGTTCCAGGGCAAAAGTTCTGATTTTCCTTGGCGGAAACAGAAAGCTTCCTCCTCGAGAGGCACAAAGCTGCTGAGGTTTGGGGATATCTTCCTTTCCATTATTCAGCTTCATGGGTCCATACCTACCCTCACCGTATGAATGGATTGGAGACTATCCAACTTGCAGCAGCCTGAGGCTTTTATTTTTTCAGGTTTACAAATTTTTATTCATAAATTCTATATAGAAAGTGAATGATATTGGAACAGTTTTGTTTTTAAGTTTGGTCTAAATACTGCTTCTTCATGTTTTCATTTTAAAGATTCATTTAGAAATGTTAAACTATTTTTTTCTCAGCATGCAAGATAATGGGTTCCATGATGATATTTTCATAATACATGTATATACATACATACAAATCTTTGTGTATAGATATGCACATATGTATGTACATACATCTGTATGTATATATGTATGTTTGTGTGTATGTATATACATATGTGTGTATGTGGGTGCACTAGTCCCCTTCTTTCCCCAAATGGTGCCATGGTATCATGTCACACACTCACTGCGCGTGTGATTGTGGATATAGGTGTGTGAATCTAGATTCCATAATTGAGAGAAACTTGAGACATTTTTTTTCTTTCCCCATTACCATCTCTTATTCTCCCTTCTGCTTTCCTTGGACCAGATACCCCTTGGTCTTCTACTTCCGTGTCACTAATACATACACATATATGTACATGGATACATATTTAAGTCTATATCCCACATACAGAGGAAAACATTTAATATTTGAATTTTTTCCTCCTCCTTTTATTTTTCTGTTTGTTATGGCAGGGTCTCCTGTAACCCAGGACAGCCTTGAACTCCCCAGAGATAACGCTGAGATCTCTATCTTCCTGCCTGTACCTTCTGAGTGATGGGCTTACAGGCATGCATCACTTGTATGTACAAGTATGTACAACCCATACTTGTATTAGACGGGTTTAGATACTTGTCTTCCTCAATCTGGCTTCTTTCACTTAATGTGACCTCCAGTTGCATCCATTTTCTCACATTCTTAAAAGCTTAGGAAAACTCCACTGTTCATATATATATATATATATATATAATTTTATTTATCTATTCATCTGTTGATGTGCCCTGTGCTTTTTGCCTTGTCATTGACAAAAGCTTAAGTCTTGCCACATTTGTACAGACTCCATATTTGTACACAAATGCTGTGTCCTATCATTACCTGGGAACATCACTCTAGAACTTTGCTCTTTGTTCCTGACATCAGCAATGTCTGTGCTCTCTTTAGAGTCGTCACCAGCCACCAGGACACTATTACACTTCCTGTCGTGCAGTCATCTCCTGGGGTCTAGGATCCCAGCAGTACACAGTAGTGACCAATTCACAGCAGACATCAAGCACCTGTGTCCCCCCCGCCCCACCCCTGGCTTTGTAAGCCTGTCCCCCTATCCTGGCCTGAGGGAAACTCCCGATGCTATTCACCCTCTCCAGGCACTCAGTTCATTTGGTCCCCTCTGCTACTGAGTGCTCTGAAACACCTGTCTCCTGCCTCAAACTCCCTTGGCCAGATGTTTGAACTCTTCCCAGAGACCAGGGTGACTAAGGACCATGTTACGCAGTCCAGGGTTGTCACCAGGATGTCTCCTTCCCACTGGCCAGCCACACCTTCTCCCAGGACTCTGCTTGCCACTCTCCTGTGTTAGCTCCCTTCCCCCATCCCTATCTTAGAGCCCAGTGACACAGGGCTCAGTCCTGGAGCTCTTTGCTATCTAGGTTTACCCTTTGGAGACTGCCATGGGCACAGAGCCTTCAACATTATCAACCAGGAAACTCTTCCTATCCTCAGCTCCAGTTCCCATCCCTTCAAACACCAGATCCCTTTTTATTTTGACTCACACGGGAGCTGTCAGAGACTGAGAAAGGTGTGCCTGTGCAGGAGCTGAACAAGGGTGGGGGGTAGGATGGGATCTTATTCTCCACATGTTCAGAAACACCCTCCTCACCCCCTGAAAGTGTTGGTCTCACTGTCTGTCTTCCCTGCTGGAACACAGGGCAAGGACTATTCCTGTTCCTGTCCTCCTCATCAGGTGTATAATAGGTGCTTTAAAACTATTTGTGGGATGAATACAGAAGTACACAGGTGATTTGGGTGGTCATCAGGCCTGATGAACTGATGAGCATTAAAGAGTTACAAGACTTAGTGAGAGTCTGGAACAAGCCAGAGGTAATGGTAGAGAAGGGTCCCAAGGACACAGGTGCGATTCTCCTCATGTGCATGGCTCAGAAGACTAAGGTCCTCTGGCTAGCTGTGTGGCTTCTAGAGGCACAGTGGGCTTGACATCAGCTCTGCCTGACTTCATGTTTCAGGCTCTGCTTTCTTTAGCAGCAGCAGGCTTTCAGGGGTCTAATGTGACTCAGGATGCAGCACAGCCCAGTCTACCTGCTATGGGAGATCATGAACATGGGGAGGGAGATTGCCAATGTTTCCAGAGGATAAGTGCTCTGGGGCAGGGTGGGTAGAAAGCAGGATGTAGTTAGAGAGTATGAAGTATCTTGAATCCCAGAGAGTTGAGACTTTCTCATTCCAAGGACAGAAAGACCCATGAGCCACAGTGCTGAGAGGGTAAAGGTCTCATTCACCTTGTTTCCAGGAACTCATCCTGGATGATCAGAGATTCCTTCCTTTCACCACTGTCCTTCTCTACTCCACAGAGTTATGAAAGTGTGGGTGCCCAGGCTCCACATCTCTGCTACTTACAACCTGAAGAAGGTTCTCTCACGCCTGGGCATCAGCAAAATCTTTGAGGAGCATGGTGACCTCACCAGGATCTCATCTCATCGCAGCCTGAAAGTGGGAGAGGTAAGCCCACCTGCATGGACCACTCCTCCTACTCAGGAGTCCTCATGAAGCCTTAGCCAGAGCCACTGTCAGGGCAGCCAGCTCTGTGATCCCAGGAGAACCACCCCTTAACCTCTGATTCCACTTTTTATAACTAGACTTGTTGATTCAATGCACTGCACATTGATCAAGTGCAGGGACATTTATCAGATCCATAACCAGGCTATATCTGACCAGAACCTTCTAAGATCTCACAGCCTTCTGAGAAGGAAGAAGAACTAAGGTATACCATTGAGACAGACAGGCAGATGCCCCGAGGTCTGCAGCAAGATAGCAATCTGCATATTAAGGCAGGAAAAGAGGCCCACAGGACCTCGTAGACAACGTCTTCAGAACTTAGTAGACACAGTATAAGACACTCAGTTAAATTTGGATTTCAGAGACATTTGCATAATTGTTTTATAGCATAAGTATGACCAGCATATTTCACAGGGCCTATTAATACTTGGACATAACCATAGCTTATCGTAAATGAAATTTTAACTATATATTTTATACATTTAGCAAACCCGCTTGGGAGTTAGAAGAGCACGGAAGGGCAAGATTCCAGAAATAGAGATCAGTGAGTATTAGGTAGTGTTCTGCTGCAGTGATAAAGAACCACAGACAAACACAACTTAGAGAAGAGTTTACTATGGTCTGTGGTTCCAGACAAACAGTCCTTAAAGGGGAAGGCATTGACAGCAGGCAGCCAGAGCAGGAAGCTGACTGATCACATTTCATCACATACAGAAAGCACAGAGTCAGAACAGGAAGCGGGAGGAGACTCTAAACTCTCAAGGCCCACCCCTAGTGGCAGGGTTCCTCCTCAAGGCAGCACTTACTCAACTTCCCCAAACAGCGCCACCGGCTGGGGAGGAAACTGTGGTAGGGGATTGTGGGAGGGATCCTGCCCTCTGAGAAGGATGACACAGGTGTTCAACTACCCAAGGGACTGAGCTAAGTAAGACTTCACACCCTATCTCTGTCTCCTTCCTGTTGGTGAGCCCCTGAAATTCAGGTAAGATAGCAAGCCCCACTGGACTGCCCTATTCCCTCACTTCCACTGTAACACCACCCACAAAACTATGCTGGGCAACTGTGGCCAAATTGCCTCCCTCTCAGGGCTTCCCATCCTTGACCTGCTATAGACTCCCTTGACCCCTCGGTAACCACTGACTGTCTCTTGCTTCCGCAGGCTATACACAAGGCTGAGCTGAAGATGGACGAGAAGGGCACAGAAGGGGCTGCAGGCTCTGGAGCCCAGACACTGCCCATGGAGACCCCAGTAGATATAAAGTTTAACAAGCCCTTCCTGATAATGATTTATGAGGAGTCCACACCTTCCATGATCTTCTTGGCAAGGATTTCTGACCCTAGTGGGAAATAAAGGAATTAAGGGAATTTCCTGCTGGTTTCAGACTTCACTTGCTTCCTAGGTCTGGAAGCATTTCACCTGCCTGGTATAGAGGAGAGGCCTCAGGTGCACTCTGGCCCAACACTCCAAGTCAGAGTGTCCCACCGCTTCCTAAACCAGTAGCCCAGTCGGCTCTCAGAGCTTTCCACCCTGTATCCTGCTGTAGTCCCTTCCCTAACCATCAGCATTCCTGGACTAAAAGCCAAACTCTTCCCCTAGTATGCCCTCACCTCCAGCAGACCAGCAGACAGGGTGCGTTTGTGTCTTGTTAAGTTCCACCTCACCTGACTCATCTGGTTGTTCTCTGGTACATACTCTATGGAAGACGGGAGCCACAGGAGGTGTTGCTAGGAATGTCACATGCCTTGCTGGGAGCCCCTGCTTCCCTTTCTGAAATGAAGATTGCAGTATTCCTTGGTGAGGCTCCGAGAAAACTGACACCAATGCCTAGCAGAAATTGTCCTCCTTTGGGAGTCCCAGGCTGGGAACTCTGGCATATAAACTACAAGGCTCTCCTCACAGGGTGTCTGGGTGTGATTGCTACCCCAGCCAGGCCTCTGGGAACACAGGGAAAGCAGCCCAGCATTAGAAGAGGGCTGCTTTGAGGAGAAGCTGGGGATCACTACCAGTTTTGTTGATTTTTTCCCAGCACAAGAGGAGGAATCTGGGCTCCTCAGGCCTATGGACAAAGACAGGCTCTACAATTGAAACTTTGGGAAATGGGAGTCTCTACCTGCCTCAGAAAACAGGCCCTGTCTCAGAAAACAGGCCCTGCCGCAAAAAACAGGCCCTGCAGTGGCTACTTCAGGCCACCAGAGGGCACCAAGGGCTAGGCCAACAGTGTGGGGCTGGACTGAAAGATGACATTCTTCCTCAAGCTGTGAGTGGCTTCCTGAGACTATCATCTCTAAATATCTACCCCTACACTCTCATGGGGATGCCTCTCCTCCTCCCTATTGGCCTCCTCCTCAACACCTCATGTCCAGCTCCTTATGACCTGTTTATGGGCTTCCGTCCTCTTTTATTTAGTATCGCTCAGGCAACCATTGTCCCAGGAAACTGCTCACTTCCATGCCCAACAATGGCTTGTGGGTCCAAGTGGTCCCCCTCCTTCCCTGTGAGCTGCAATCATTTAGTGAGTGCTATATAAGGACTCTCAGAGTTGCGCACTGAGGGCTGGAGGCTGAGGCACATGGGCCTGGCTCCTGGCTCCTCAGTTACTGCCCAGTGGGGGTAATAGCCACACTCACAGCTATGTGTCATCACTCAACTTTAAGTTCATGTTTATAGTCTCCACAAACCATAAGAAAGGCTGACCGGGGCACAGGAGAGCTTCACAGGAAAGTCTGATTCTACTTGGGGACCCCAGAAAGGTTCCCCAGGTACATAACATTTGGAGACAACCACAGCTACAGCTACTAATTCCAATCATAGAGCCCACTGGGATAAGGCTTGCCCAGCATGTGTGAGGCTTTGGTTTATAGCATTTTAAAAATGAAAGAAAAGAAGTTAAAACTACAATGTTTACCCAGCACAGTTAATTAGACACAAAATACCAATTTGTCTTCTAAACAGAAACTGGACATAAGGTCTAACTTTTTTAAATGACTTACTTATCTTAAATATTTTTCAATATGGTTTCTGATCTTCACAACCCACCTGCTCACACTTCACTAAAAATCATATGTTTGATTTTTTTTTTCCAAACAGAAGTCAGAGTAGGAGACGGGGTGGGGGCACTCAAGCATCAAGAAGACCACGTGCAAAGGCCCTGCAGTAAGCAGCATGGATGAGGAAGCAAAATGGCAGTCAAATAGCTGGTGCAATAAACTAAGGCAGGAAGAGTTGAGCAAAGACGCTGAAACAGTTGGTGGGGTCTTGTTTCCCACACAGGGAGACTGTACTAGCTACCTCGTTTCCCCAAAGACGACCCTGTAACAGATCACTGTATGTCCTTGCATCCAAGAGCCCAGACTAGTACCTGCAACCAAGTGTGTGCCCAGTAGGTGATGCTGAGAGGAGACTTTCACACAGCCACCCCTTTGCAGGCAGCTGGCCATCATCTAGTCTCCCTGTTCCCTGGAAGGGAAGGCCTACTGGCATAGCTGGTCTGTCCCCAGGGAAGTCAGCTACCCCCTTCTTCACAGCAGCTGCAGAGCCACCTCTTTGTGTCTACTCAAGCCATCCCATGCACCCGGCCTGGGTGCTGCTCACTCCCACCACCGCCTTGCAGAGCTTGACTCATCTTTCCAGGAAACGCCAGCTCCATCTTCCCAAAGGCCCTAGCCCACCTGGTTGTGGACTGGCTGACCTCATGAATGAATGAACAAGTGAATCCGTGGGTTTGACTTTGATGTTTATCAATGCCTCTTAGTCATTTCTTGAAGCCTCCACTACATGGGTGTGCTCACTGCTCTTCAAACCCTCCAACCCCGATGGTGAAACCATTCTATGTTATCGATTAAAAGAAAAAAAAAAAACCTTAAGCTTAAGAAAGCCACATAACTTGCCCAAAGACCTACAGCTAGAAAGGATCAAATGGAAGTCCCCTGAGCATTACTCACTGTCCATTTGTGCACCAGTCCATCCATCCACTCATTTTCCTGTCCATCCATTACCCATCTATCCAACTCTGACTCATTTGTTCACTTACCTGCACACCAACCTCTCTACCCCATTGACCCTTCTATTTATCCATCCTCCATTCACCCATCCATTCCCTTGTCCATCTACCCACCCCTTCATCTATGTATGTGTCTACCCACCTACCTATTTCTCTCACTGATCTATCCAACTTTTGACCCTTCACTCCATCCACCCATCCATGAAGCCACAAACCTATCCATCCTACTGACTCATTCATCTATTCACCTACCCAAGACACTGACTAATCCATCCATACAAGTACTTACCTATTCATCCACCTGTCCATCCATCTACCTTCCCATCATCCTCTCACTGATCCATCTACCCATCTGTTCACTTTATACCATGGATTGTTCTAAGAACTTGAGTTATGCCAGTTGACAAATTCTACAAATATCTTCATCTTCATGAAGGCTTTAGCCTATTTGGAGAGGCATACAATAAACAAGGTATATAACAAAGAAGTTTAACAGAGCAGGCAAGAGTGGCTGTCTGGAGGTGTTGAGGATATGTGTGTGTGGCAGTTGGGGGGGGGGGTCGTGATCAAATGTTCTGAGCAGGGGATGCTCACTACCTAAACAGCTAAATGATGATTCGTGTTGCAAAGTCTACTGCACTGACGGACCTGGGTGTTGCCCACACAGTGGTATGGTGCCTACACACAGCTGACTTGGACAGAGATGTGTCCTTAGAATGTCCACCAGAATCCCCATGAGAAAGACCCCCTTGGTATGATCTAGCACGCCTTCCACAGGGTGCAGGAAGCCTTGGCACAGCCTTTGAGCATCTCTTCTGGCACACGCAGGATCCGGACCAGGAATCTGGCTTCCTGTCTGTGCCAGCTCATCCCATAGTTTTACCTGCCCGGGCTGAGGTCATTTTCATGGGATGTGTCAGGAATGGCAGGCTGATGTGTTGGCAGGGAAGGCCACCAGTGAGAAATCCCAATGTTCCGCCCTGCTTTTTCAAGACACTCCCTGCGTGGCTTGAGCTTTAACTCCCATTCTTCATTTGTGTAGAAGACCCCTTCCCCCAGCTGACAAAACAGCCATCCTTCCAGGTATAATTTGAATGAGCAGGCTTCAACTCAGCATCTGTTATGAAACAAGACAGTGTATCAGAAGCTATGAAATCAGAATTGGGGAAATCTTCCCAAGCACAAACCTGGGCCATAACCGCATGGCCTTAATCCCATCATCTCTTAATGTGCTAGTCAGGCCCAAGGAGAGAGGTCCCTGCCCTGCTGCTCACCACAGTTGTTCTCAGCTTTTACACTAGGGGGGAGCAATGCCCAGGCGACTTTTGCTCTTCATCTTGTGAATGGAGCCTGTACTCCATTGACACTCAGTTTCCCAACTTTCATTCATCTCTGATCTACAAACACAATTATGGCTGAACCACTTCCTTGTTTGTGTTACAGGCATCCCTTGACTTATGATGGCCTTCATTCCATACCAATGAGCCCATGCCAAGTTGGAAGCATCTGACATCTTATGAGAACCACAGCTCAGAAACCAGCCCCCTGCAGAGTGTAGGCTGTTTTCCCCAATTGCAGAGGTGATGGCAACAGTGACACAGGTCACATGTCACTAGCCTAGGAAAAAAAACAACATTGGGAATTTTTGCCACCATATAGAGTACAAAAAAATCCTAAATTGAACCAACTGTATCATTTGGTCAACTTTAATGTTCAAAATGGTTCATATTAAAAAATAAAATAAAATTGGAGCTGGCAAAATGGCTTGGCAAGTAAAGACAGTTGCCATCAGATCTAATGCCTGGAGTCATCAGGAGCAATCCTCAGAACTCACATAATAAAAGGAAAAGCATAGACCCTCTCAAGTTGTCCTCTGACTGTAAGAATGTGATGTTAGAATCCAGGTACTAGAGATCCAAGATGGCGGCACCGGGAGGACACTCTTTGTGACCAGCAGCACAGCAGGGTCTGCACAGTGACCAGCAGAAGAAACTCTAGGTTCTAAAACACCAGAAATTGTGTTTCCCAGGTTAGAGGAAACCCCACGATGTGGGATTAAATCAGGTTCAGGTCACCCAGCTAAGCTGTGGAAGAGTTCCCAGGTCCTGCCTGGAGCTTGGTCACCAACCCAGAACAACACACCAGTGTGCTCTGAACACAATCCCAGACTGAACTGTGGGCCTCACAACACCAGAGACTAGGATTTCCAGTCAAGAGAAAACCCCACATTGTGGGAAGCGATTGGGATTGACCTCGGGTCACCCAGACAATCCTGGAAAAAGACCTGGGGTCCAGCAGGTGCCCAGCCACCAGCCCAGAGTGGGGTGTGCAGCCACTAGCACAGACTCCT